TACAGTGCGCCGCTTGGGAGTCTGGCAGCGCTCCCGCCGAGGGTTCAGATCCCACATACAGACCGGTTCCCGCTCACTGGCTGAGCGAGGGGCGGGCGCAGCATCGAGGGTTGCCGGTCCCGGTCCAGTACGGGCGCGACACTGAGGGTTGCGGTCCGTTGCCGGACACGAAAAAAGACAAAAAAAAGGAAAAAAAAAAAAAAAAAAAGATAATACAATAACACCAAGGTCAAAGGTTTGGATCCCCTTACTGGCCAGCAACAACAACCAAAAAAAAAGATAATATGAATCTTTCCACAAATTTTTTGAAGTACCCTCATACAACTAACGAATTTATAAATATTCTTTTGTATTAATGACAATTACCAATATACCAGCATACTGCAGTCAGTCTGGTACACGTAGTAAAGCTGCATGTTATTGGACACTGTGCCCTTATGAAGAGACAGACTGCAATTTATTATAGGAATTTTGTACTGAAAAGAGAGTAGATGAAGAGAAAGGTCTGTTCTGTTGGGTTCTATTGAACCATTCACACATTCTCACTCCATTTTCCACTATGATCAACGAAAACGGTGACAACCTAAAGTCATTATAAAACAGGTCTTTACCTCTGTTATAGAATTGACATACTGATCTTGCACATTTCTGAGCATTTGTTTGTTCTACTACTTATTTTGGCATTTAACAGTCTACAACCTTATATGTATGTTCCAGTGCTGACACTGTAAGCTTGATTTGCCTTAGTGTAAGAATCAGGCCTTACAATGATTCTTCATATAATCCTTGCCATAGCTAACAAGGTGTGGGGTCACAGTAGGCAATGCCAGAATTTATTTTTCACTGCAATTGTATTAAAACGGCACCATGTTATTAATAATTGCTTTAATCTTTTCACTATAAATGTAATATGGCTACTAGATGATATAAGATGGGTGGAATACGAGAGGAATCCATACTAGAGGCAAATTCTGAAGAGAATTAATAAATAGTTTTGGTGAAGATTAAGATACCAAGTTTAATTTTTAAAAAAAATTCATGGGAAGAAGCACAGTCATTTTTAAGATCAGTTCAACTCCCCTAAATATAAATTAAAAAATTATCACACACACATAATAGTTGTTTTAGAACAGCTGTTATATCCCTTGAACAAGGAGCATAAGTTTCTCCATAGTTCTATAGCATTTGGAAATCTGGGCTGGCTGGTTAGCTCAGTTGGTTAGAGCACGGTGCTGTTAACACCATCAAGGTCCAGGGTTCAATCTCCGTACTGACCAGCACCAAAAAAAAAAAAGAAAACCACAAAATTATTTTTAAAATGACCTGCACTTAGTCGCTCAAGGAATTTTGAAGTAGACTTGTCCACATGCCTCTCAGCAACCTTTAATTTTGCTTGATCAAATTCATTTTCCATGTCTACAAACAAAAGTTGAAAAATGTTTCCATGGGCCGGCCCGGTGGTGCACCGCAGCGGCGCTCCCGCCAAGGGTTCGGATCCCACATACAGACCGGTTCCCGCTCACTGGCTGAGCGAGGTGCGGGTGCGACACTGAGGGTTGCGATCCCGTTGCCGGTCCCGGTCCGGTACGGGCGCGACACTGAGGGTTGTGATCTGTTGCCGGACACGAAAAAAGACAAAAAGGAAAAAAAACAAAAAAGAAAAATGTTTCCTAATACCCCTCGAGCTTGATCAAGATAACCCATTTACTCTTTTCTACCACCTGACGTTCCTTGTGATGTAGTAATCAATAGTGCCTAAGAGCTGCCTAAAGCAAATTTTTTCAACAATTAATAGAACTAACTGCTCTTCAAAGACTTGTAAATCAAAGGGGGAGGGGAGGACTGACAGGAGCAAGCTCAAATATTCTTTAATCTGAAAGTTATGGCATTTTTCTTTTTCAACCTAATCAACAACCTCTTGAAAATTATTTCTATACTATTCAAAATAGTGTTTCACAGGATACTGTCAAGTTTTTATTCATTAAAATGGTGACCAGAAACATCTCAGCAAGCTGGAAGGCTGCTGACAAAAAGTATCTAGTTTCCTTAGCAACAAACAAATCTGAAAAATCAAGAGGTTGACAATGAAGTGGAATGGATGGTATGATAAAAGGAAAAAGCAACTCTCATGTGTGCACCTTACAAGCCCAGATTCTTCTGCTAATGCTTCTGTGTTTTCATCTTGTCAGTATGGAAAATCTATATATTATACAGAGTGGAAGACAAAATAAATTCACTCAGATAGCAGCCAGCATTAATATCCAACCTTGGGCTGGCCCGGTGGCACACTGCTACAGTGCGCCGCTTGAGAAGTGCGGCGGCGCTCCCGCCGAGGGTTCGGATCCCACATACAGACCAGCCACTCACTGGCTGAGCGAGGAGCGGGGGCAACACCGAGGGTTGCGATCCCGTAGCCGGTCCCGGTCCGGTACGGGCGCAACACTGAGGGTTGCGATCCGTTGCCGGTCATGAAAAAAGACAAAAAAAAAATATATCCAACCTTCAACTCTAATAACTATACCTCTAACAATCACCATTTTTCATACAAAAATTTCATACTTTGCCTTTCCCTCACAATATTACAATGAACTATTTTGAATGACATATGCACAGGTAATATATACCAATAACCCAACTTTTACAAAGCTTCCACCTATACAATTTGAATATGTTTTAATCAGAGATTAACTTTTAACATTTTAGGGAGCTGAAAACTGTTGTTTGTTTTGTCTTTAAATGCTGTATTTTTCACAAGATCTGAAAAACTGTCAAGTAACATCATGGACATGTTAGAAAATGAAGCCTTTTAGGGAGTGTCTTACTTATTAAAAATAAAAAGGGGTATGGTGAAAAGAATAGAGTTAAAGTAGAAGATCATGCTTCTGGCTCAAATCACTAACCTTGGGCAAATCATTTAACCTCTCTATGCCTTTCTTCATCATGGAGACAATTTTATTAACATGTGATGAGCATTGTAAAGCACCCTAGCATTTTTAAATGTTTAGTAAACATTTGCTGTGTTTTTGTTAACAAAGACTAGGAGAGGGCTTCACTTAACTTATAATAGACGTTGGTTTAGAAAACACTAAGAATATCTCATCTGATTTTCACAATAACCCCCACAAGGTAGATGGGTAGTATTATCCCCACTTAATGAAAATGAAGCAAAGAGAGGGTAAGATACTTGTTCTGGGTCATATAATCAGAGGCTGAATTATAACTAGAACACAAACCTTTGGGGTTCCCAGTCCAACCTCCAGTCTAACAACATGTTATTGCCAAGGTCCTTCCAACTTTAAAATTACTTTCGAATTATCCACCAGTTAAACTCCTAAACTGTCTTATCAGTCTGGCTTTAACAAAACATATAAAAACTTCCTTGCTTTTACTGCATGAACTAACCTGTATGCCCTCAATAGTAACTGAAATCAACATCTATCAAGTTTACTGCTATTGCTGAATACTTACAAAATGATAAGATATAGTCTAAGTTCCCATTTATTGCTTCACTTCTCAATTCAGCCTGAGGAAACGCACTACTTTCAGGCAGACATCCATTTTCCTGGAAATAAAGCATATATCAATGATAATATGCCTCAGCTAACAATATTTTGATATGCTATTCAAATTTCCTGTTTTCCTGTTCCTTTTTATCATCACATTCTCTGATAAACTATCATTAAAAAAATCATTTTTTAGAACAATACATAATCTACAAGTTCCAACACTCCAAATTAAATGCTTATGTTCAAATATAGAATCTGTTACCGTTAGAGTGCCTTCCTTCTACAAAGAGTTTAATACCGAAGACTCTAGAACAATTCCCTCATTAAGAAGAAAAGAAAAATTCAATGCATGGATCTAAAATGATAATTTGGGACACAAAGTAAAGTAAGAATAGACCTTAATTTTATATAACTCCAAGTGGTTCACCACTTGATTTTATATCATTTATTTAATCATTTAAACATATGAAACAAAACTTAACTCAGATATATTTACTGAATCATTTTATAATAGCATAATATTAAAAGCCATCTAATCAACCATAGGCAATGAATAAATATAAATTATGGTATACCCATACAATAAAACAGCATACAAGTATAAAAAATACTTTGCGGACTTACATACTATTATGGAAAGGTGCCAAATGAAAAAAAAAGTACATTGCTGGGTAATATGAATGGTATAACTCACTTTTTGCTAAAAGAGATTACTCATACCTGAAAAAATATACATGTTAAGCAATAATGACAATCTCAGAGAACTGTGGATGAGCTGTGTAGTCTTACCACTCAGTTGTATTTTCGAATTTATCAACAAACATGTATTATGTAATTTTTAAAAGCTGATGAAGAAAATGTGCTTTTTAATGTATAGATAAAGACAAAAAGCCCCCATACCAGCCAGCTGCCAAAAAAGATAAAAAGCTTATCAGTACTTTGGGTTCTATTAAACACTTAACAGAGTACTTGTTTCTGAGCAAACAATACTTAATACTGAAAATCCAGCAATGAAGGCAAAAGATAGCTGAAATGAGAATGAATATAAAACCAAATTTAGGATAAAGCTTCCAAACTGGACCTGGTTCTACCTAAGATAGGTCTCCAGTGAGAACGCAAAAGCAATAAGAAAGTGACATTGGAATCTTGGGCTATTTTTCTGCAAAGACAAAAAAAATTTGGGAAAATAAGAATATGTGAGAAGGTTACCTTTTAAATATTTTTTAAGAGCCGACCCATGGCTCACTTGGGAGAGTGTGGTGCTGATAACACCAAGGCCACGGGTTCAGATCCCTATATAGGGATGGCTGGTTAGCTCACTTGGGAGAGCATGGTGCTGACAACACCAAGTCAAGGGTTAAGATCCCCTTACTGATCATCTTTTAAAAAAAATAAAATAATAAAATAAAATATTTTTTAACTGTAAAATATATATAGCACATGCTTAAATACTCTGCTAAGAACTTAGGGAGAGAGGTAAAGACAATCAAGACATAAACCCTAACTTTAAGATGACTGTAATTACGTAATTATTTCAAGGAAAGGAACATTCTAATATTAGAAAAGATCAAGGCATTATGTGAATAATTACCTAGGAAACAGCTCTTTTGAACAAAATATTTCTTATTATTTGGTGCTCTGCCATATTGTTTCTAATTCTACAGCACTTTGTATTGATAATGTAAAAGACAACCCTTGCTGATCCAATGCACTGCCCAAGTCCACTTCTTCATATACCCCCTTATCAACACGTTGCCTATTCTGGTTGGGAGAAGTATTTGGTAGGAAAATAATACTTTGAAGTCAAACAAAAGATTATTTAAAAAAAAAAAAAAAGAATACGGGGCCGGCCCGGTGGCGCGCTTGGGAGTGTGGTGGCACTCCCGCCGAGGGTTCGGATCCCACATACAGACTGGTTCCCGCTCACTGTCTGAGCGAGGTGTGGGGGCAACACCGAGGGTTGCGATCCCGTTGCCAGTCCTGGTCCGGTACGGGTGCAACACTGAGGGTTGCGATCCGTTGCTGGACACGAAAAAAGACAAAAAGGAAAAAAAAAAAAAAAGAATACAGAATAGCGAATATAGCATTAGTACATTTATAAAAATTCATATAGAAGTAAAAAAATAATATTGAAAATGAAAATTTCAAAAACAAAAAAAGAAAATGGCAGCTGTATTTTAGAGTAGAATTAAGAAGTGAATACTGTTTTAATTTTTTCTGATACTGGTATATCTTCTTTTCTACAGACAAGAAAAATTCTGCTTTGCCTTTTTAAGTGTTTAAGTTTAACCACTCTAGGGCTGGCCCATGGCTCACTTGGGAGAGTGTGGTGCTGATAAAACCAAGGCCACAGGTTTGGATCCCTATATAGAGATGGCCAGTTAGCTCACTTGGGAGAGCGTGGTGTGAACAATACCAAGTCAAGGGTTAAGATCCCCTTACCAGTCATCTTAAAAAAAAAAAAAAGTTTAACCACTATAAATGTTATACTAACCAATATTTTTAAAAAGCTTTAGAAAATTATATACAGACTCATCCATTTTTAGTCCTCAGTTCAATGACTTTTTTTTGGTGACTGCTAAGCATTAGAGAGGAAAGATACTCTTCTCCAATTATAAAATTAAAACCACACTTGTAGGGCCGGCCCGGTGGCGCACTCGGTAGAGTGCGGCGCTCCCGCCGAGGGTTCGGATCCCATAGAGACCGGTCCGCTCACTGGTTGAGCACGGTGCGGGTGCGACACCAAGGGTTGCGATCCCGTTGCCAGTCACGAAAATAGACAAAAAGGAAAAAAAAAAAACCACACTTGTACTCACCTGCAAAACAGCACGTGCTGACTTAACACTATCAAAAGATGGAAATACATAATTTACATATGTCTCCCAATCAGGGTGTACTCCCATTTCATGCATTGCTTTCAGGATGTCAATTATACCTGTAAGATAAAAAATTTAGAAGCACAGATGAAAAACTTGGAATAAATTAACAAAAGATTAGAAAGTTCAGTTCATTTACTTTCTAAATCATAATGTAAGAAAACTACTGAGCATTTTGTTTGTCTAAAAGAGAAGGCAGAAAAGCAACAACTGAGAGATATCATGACAAATGAAAAAACTAAATTCTTCTTTCTTCATCTCTATTAATTTAATAGTGAGTGATAGGAAAGTAGCCTTACTTTGAAATTATGACTGCAAGGAAACTTAAACAATGAAGTAATATGCCTAACATTTCTGGAACCCCAACTGAACACAATCACAAAACATCATTGCTATTATAGAGCAATGATGACTTACACAATAAAAGTTGGCAAGAATAAACACTGTAAAGGGAAGGGATTGGGGGAGTGTTATGAAAGGGGAATCTGTCAAAGACAAAACCAGTTTCAAAAAGTGTTTTAAATTAAGCACTTACATACAAAATTCTCTTAATTGTTATTAACTTCTGACTTCATATTTTACAACATAAGAATGAAAAATGAATAGAGAACAACTGATTGATGAATTGTCTCATTTTATTTAAAACTAATTTAAAAATCTAGTAAGGGGGGCAGAGGGAGGAGAGAAGGAGGTTTCAGTAATGGGCTACAATAATCAACCACATTGAATATTGACAAAAAAAAAAAAAATTTAGTAAGTTGTTTGTTTCTTCCCATCCACCATTCACAAAAATATCTTTTAATAACTTCTTTAAAAGTCATTTCATGTTTTCCGGGCCGGCCCGGTGGCGCACTGCTATAGTGCGCCGATTGGGAAGCGCGGTGGCGCTCCCGCCGAGGGTTCGGATCCCACATACAGACCGGCCGCTCACTGGCTGAGTGAGGGGCGGGAGCAACACTGAGCACTGAGGGTTGCGATCCCGTGGCCGGTCCCGGCCCGGTACGGGCGCGACACTGAGGGTTGCAATCCGTTGCCGGTCACGAAAAAAGACAAAAAGGGAAAAAAAAAAAAAAAAAGTCATTTCATGTTTTCCAAAGCCAGTTAGCTTCAAATAGTACAAACTGATTTCTTTATATCAGACCCAATTAATTATAGAAAACTGTCAAACTATTCAGGTGTCACATAATTTGACAGAGACCACAGTTTAATAAAAAGAAAGAACATACTTGTTTTCCTTTTTAAAACTTACTTCTTTAGCTTCATTACTTTCAAGTCATTAAAACTTCCCCCAAAAGTCCCTGCTTCTGACCTATGACATTCCCTACAGAAAAATTACATATCTTTAAATTTGTTATATAATGCACTCTAGTACAAATAACTGATTGTAAATTCCCACTAAGTAAAAAGATACAGGCAAGTGTAACTACATTATAAATACTTGCAAAATTCTTTTAGATAAAATTCAGATTACAGACCAGAATATTTTACCTTTAAACAGTTCATTTAACATTCAACTTTCAGAAGGAAAGAACAGAACAGTGGTTATTAAAGGTGGGAAAGAGGGTGGGGGAGGGGGTCAGCAAGAAATTGGTTAATGGACAAAAAATGATTATGTATTGTAATGATGAATATGCTAATTATCCTGATTTGATCATCACATATTGTACACAAGTATTGACAGTCAACTCTGTACGCCACAAATGGGTACTATCAGTTATGTTTCCATAAAATAAAAATAAAAAAATAAAAGTACCTCTTCCATGGGGTGAATGTGCAAATTAAATGCATAATTTAAAAAAAAGTTTATTATATATAAAATTATCTAATACTAGCATAAAAATAGACAAACAGACCAAGGGAACAGAATAAAGAGCCCAGAAAAAAACCCACACATATACAATCAACTAATTTTCTCCAAGATACTAAAAATATACAATGAGATGCTAGGAAAACTAAATATCCACATGCAAAAGAATGAGACTAGACCCGTTATCTTATACCGTACACAGAAAACAACTCAAAATGGATTTAAAAAATTAAACCATAAAACTGAAACCATAAAACTCCTAGAAGAAAACACTGGTTTGGCAATGATTTTTCTGGATTTGACACCAAAGCACAGGCAACAAAAGCAAAAATAAAGTGGGACAACTTCAAACTAAAAAGCTTTTGCACTTGAAGGAAACAATCAACAAAGTGAAAAGGCAACCTAGGGAATGTGAAAAAATATTTGCAAGCCACATATCCAATTAGGGGTTAATATCTAAAAGATATAAGAAACTCATACAACTCAATAGCCAAAAAATCTAATAACCCAATTAAAAAATGGACAAAGGACCTAAACACACGTTTTTCCATACAAATGGCCAAAAGGTTTATGAAAAGATGCTCAATATCACTAATCATCAGAAAAATAAACATCTATACCATGAGATATTACCTCCACCTGTCAGAATGGCTATTATCAAAAAGACAAAAGATAAATGTTGGTAAGGATATGCAGAAAACAAATGGAGATTCCTCAAAAACTTAAAAATAGAACTATTATCACTTCTCAGCTTTTTGGCTAAGATCAAATATAGTAAAAACAGAATTACCATGACTCAGCAATCCCATTTCTGGAAATATATCCAAAGGAAATAAAATCACTACCTCAAAAGAGATGTCTGCATACCCATATTTACTGCAGCTTTACTCACAGTAGCCAAGATGTGGAAACAATATCCTGTTGACAGATGAATGGATAAAGAAAATGTAGTATATATGAGGGTATTTCAAAAAGTTTGCAGCAACAGAATTAAAATATATGGCGAATCTTTCCATGAACTTTTTGAAGACCCCTCATACATACATACACACACGCACATACACACTGGAGTATTATTCAGCCTTTAAAAAGAAGGGACTCAGCAGACATTGTCTCTTTTGTAAGATTGCTGCAGCAGTCTTCAGAGCCCTCTATCTCCTGTGCATGATGGCAACTCTTAAGGAAAAACTTAACTGCAGCAGTTGGAGAAGAGAAAACAGTCCCAAACAATAAGATCACTATAGTGGGTGTTGGACAAGTTGGTATGGCATGTGCTATCAGTATTTTGGGAAAGTCTCTGGCTGATGAACTTGCTCTTGTAGATGTTTTTGGAAGATAAGCTCAAAGGAGAAATGATGGATCTGCGGCATGGGAGCTTATTACTTCAGACATCTAAAACTGTGGCAGGTAAAGACTACTCTGTGACAACCAGAGTTGGAGTCCGTCAGCAAGAAGGAGAGAGTTGTCTCAATCTGGTGCGGAGAAATGTTAATGTCTTCAAATTCATTATTCCCAGATCGTTAAGTACAGTCCTGTTTGCATCATATTGTGGCTTCCAACACAGTGGACATCCTTACATATGTTACCTGGAAACTAAGTGGATTACCAACGCACTGAGTGATTAGAAGTAGGTGTAATCTGGATTCTGCTAGGTTTCACTACCTTATGGCTGAAAAACTTGTCATTCATCCCAGCAGCTGTCACGGATGGATTCTGGGAGAACATGGCAACTCGAGTGTGGCTGTGTGAACATGGCAGGTATTTCTTTCCAGGAACTGAATCCAGAAATGAGAATGGACAATTATAGTGAGAACTGGAAGGAAGTACATAAAATGGTTTAAAGTGCCTATGAAGTCATCAAGCTAAAAGCATACACCACTGGGCCACTGGATTAAGTGTGGCTGACCTCATTGAATCCAAGTTGACACAGGATTCACCCAGTGTCAGCAATGGTGAAGGGGACGTATGGCATTGAGAATGAAGTATTCCTGAGCCTTCATATATTCTCAGTGCTCGGGGATTAACCAGTGTTATCAACCAGAAGCTGAAGGATAATGAGGTTGCTCAGCTCAGCAAAAGTGTGGATACTCTGTGGGGCATCAAGAACCTAAAAGACCTGTGACTACTGAGTTCTAGGCTGGGAGAAATTTAAAAACTACAATGTGATTAACCAAGAGCCTTCGGTTTCTGTCCATGTACATGGATCACAGTTTGCTTTTATCTTCATTAATACGTGAATTTAGGCTCACAGAATTAAGCCCATGCTTGGTTTAATACTTGCAATATGAGCCCTTAAACAAATAAAATTAAGTATTGTAGTGTGGGGGGAAAAAAAAGGATTCAGACCCCTCTACCAGCCTGCCACAAATTAAAAAAAAAAAAAGAAAGAAGGAAATTCTGTCGTTTGCATCAACATAGGTGAACCTAGAGGACATTATGCTAATCAAATAAGCCAGATACAAAAAGACAAACACTCACATGATCTCACTTACATGTGAAATTTTTAAAAAGTTGAACACATAGTAACAGAGTAGAATGGTGGTTACCAGGGACTCGAAGTGAGATAAAGGGGAAGATGTTGGTAAGAAGATGTTGGTAAAAGGGTATAAAATTTCAGTTATAAAATGAATAAGTTCTGGAGACTTAAAGTATAGTATTGTGACTATAGTTAATAATATACTGTACATTTGAAATTCACTGCAAGATGGGCCAAGCCTGTGGCGCACTTGGGAGAGTGCAGTGCTGGGAGCGCAGGAGCGCTCCCGCCGCGGGTTCGGATCCTATATAGGGATGGCTGGTGGGCTCACTGGCTGAGCACGGTGCAGCCGGTCTCAAAAAGGACAAAAAAAAAAAAAAAAAAAAGAAAAAAGAAATTCATTGCAAGAGTAGATTTCAAGTGCTCTCATCACAAAAAGAAAGGTAACTAGGTGAGGTGATGAGTGTGTTAGCTTGCTTGACTGTGGTAATCATCTCACAATGTATATCAAAATGTCACACTGTATACCTTAAGTATATACAATTTTTATTTGTCATTCATAACTCAATAAAGCCGGGAAGAGGGAACAAATTAATAAATAAATTAATTAAATAACCTATTATCTTTGAAACCTTAGAGGTTTAAATGTTTTTCTTTTCTTTTTTTTTTTTTTTTTGGTGGCTGGCCAGTATGAGGATATTAACCAGTGATCTTGGTACTACCAGCACCACAAATGTTTTTCAAGATGTAAAAATAAGGGCCGGCCCGGTGGTGCA